TTCGCAAACGTTCTGCGGAAGTTCCGGCTGATTGTCTGAGAATATACCTTGCAGAGAGATAATGAGGGGCAATATATGGCGCTCACATGCATAATGGCAACAGAATCTGGGGAAATTTATTTGTGGTTTTTGATTTTTGCGTTGTATGCATGTATGATAATGTTATGTACAACGATTCCTTCTGGGCGTTGTTCTCTTCTCAGCTGCCATTTTACATATACACACTGAGCCATTAATTTCAGGCTTGTAATGAACATTCGATGTGCACGGCCTGAAGACCTCATAAATACACAACATGCCAATCTTATGTGTCTCCCAGAGAACTATCAAATGAAGTATTACTTCTATCATGCGCTCACATGGCCTCAGCTGTCCTACGTAGCGGAGGATCATAAGGTAAGCAATCGTCTAGTGCAGTTTGTTCATCTGGCGTTTACATTACGATCATTCTTTTCTTCTTGTTGGAATGTTCATCACTAACATTTTCGTTAGTATTATACCAGTGTCAATGTAAGTCTCGCAATAGGCAGTGAGTAATAAAACTCGCAGCTATTGACAGATGCGGTAATTGGCCGTCGAAAACAAAGCAAAGAGGTGAAAAGATTGTGCGTTTAGTTTTGAAAGATGTAATTGGTCAGTCATTAAGGTTAAAGGCTGTTAGTATCAGAAGTACAATTAACGTTTACTGTTTGGTAATAGTCCATCGTGATGACATGTAGGGGCATTCCGTGAATTTTGATGTTGATTCAGACCGTCCGCGTCGCTCTAAACTAAATCATTTGTCCAATAGACGTTCAAGCCCACCTTATTTCATCATATTCTTTCTTTCAAAATTTCTTCGTTTATCAATTTTTACCTGCAAAAATATATGACGGTGCCTTTTGTCAAACAGCCGATTTTTTCCCACGATTCGCTTACATAGGACCTATATTTAGTGTCGGAGAAGCTTCGTACATTTTGCAAGTTGCACTATATATCGATTTTACCCATTGTACTACTGTACTGCCCTTTTTGAGTATCAATCAATACTTATTGTTGATGCAAATGTCATTCTCTCCTTTGAACTTAACGTGTTCGCTCACTTGCTACTTTTTTATTTTTTGATTCAGGGCAATGTTGCCGCTTCGCTGTTGAAGACTAGCTGCTTGCCTGCTTGCGCAACAGAAGGCGCGCAGATTTAACGGAAATAGTGATTTGGCCACGTCGGACGGAAATTACCCCGATCGCGCAACAACTACATTTTTTTTCTGCTTATGTTTTTTACGAGAATGAGGTAGAGGATAAATAACACTCGCAGAATAAAAATGTAGTTGTTGCGGCGGAAGCCGCTTCAATTTCCGTCCAATCTGACGCCAAATTAGTACCTCCGTTAATTCTGCGCGCGTTCTGCTGCACATGCAGGCAAGCAGCTAGTCTGGCATCTACC